CTGTTTTCCCCTCACATTTACATTTGCCCTTTGAGGTGATGTGGGGCGATTGCATTTTAATGAGTGTCTCAAAGAACTTGTCCACAGTATGAAAAACTTTTCAGGTGGTTAATTATTGAATTTTAAGTCCGGGAGACGTATTTAATTTGTTGGTTTGTTCCAAGTAATAAATGCAGTTAATTTTTATAGTAGTTAACAGTCGAAATAAAGAGAATATAATAAATGCATATTACTATCAAGAAGGCTTTAATAAAAACGAACCACTTTTCTGACACGTTTGTCTACAATTAAATTTTATAGAAACTTATTTGATACACAACCGTCTCATAGAATGCTTAATTTGCTTTAGTAATCAAACCTTTATAATACCAAAATTGTTGCACTCAAACATATAAAACCATTTCATGCAATCCTTGCAACTAAAAACATATTTACATAAAAGCGCATCCCATTTAAAATACCACATCAGTCATAAGAAATGCTTTAAGACAAATCTTTAAATTTTTTATTAGTCCGTTAAACTCTACCGATTATTTTTACCGTGGAGAAATGGAAATTAATAAGGATATAGCAAGAGATTAAAATATTTGGATACATACAAATTTAAATCGAATTTCCGCAGCTTCGTTTCAACATTCCGAATTTTATAATTTACTGCCCTACATTATGCCATAACTCCCAAATCTTACCACAGCTGTAAATTTATGAAAGCGCAAAGAGAAGCAGAGGGAAACACAAATATTTCATTTTCATTTAAAATCCGTAACCGCAAAATTTCTCATATTGAATATTTGAGGCAGCAACTGTAAACTTCATAGCTAAACAAAAGTTAAATTTACTTATCATTTAACATTCGCATTCTCGCATTCGCATCGAGAGTCACTAAGCGAATCTTTACGCTTATTTACTTTCATTTCCAAGTATTTCAATAGCACAAGCAACGCAACAACAACAACAAGGAGCGCAATTTTCCCGTCTAGCTGGGCCCGCACATAATTCATGCTTGAGGCAATTTGAATGTCCAATAATCAGAAAGGCCTCAAGTTCTTGTGCTCGCACTTTGCCCTGACTTTTATTGACTTGACTTGGTCGTTTTTTGATTTGATTATAAATTAAATAAGTGCCATGGCAGCGCCAACAACTGAACCACAGCGTCGCCCGCAACGAAGGTTATCCCCCGTCTCAGCCCCGCACTCTTCTGCCTCATTTGATTACAGTTTTGAGTTGCTAGAGCGCCTGGCTCTTGGCATAATCAATAATTTATTGAACTTGGCCGTGCCAGCATAGCAAACTTTAATTTAATTTCTAGCCCAAAATTTGCCAGTCCGCACATGCGGCGTATGCGTAATGTATATATAATCAATGCATTGAATAGTTTTTCTCTCTCATTCTGTCCCTTGTGCTGCATAAATATACCATTGACATAGTTTCTGCATATTATGCCTGCCAGAATGTGGTAATTCTTTTATTTTGCATGTCTGAGACTTGGCTTTGCGTATTGATTTAAATTTCTAAATGGGCACAATGGGAGATATCTTGACCAAGAGTTGGCTAATCAGCCGAAGAACATATAATTTTATATAAAATTGACTTCTTTCACTACAAAAATATTTGAGTAAATTTATTTAATTTTGTATATTAATTATTATCTTTCATAGTTTGCTTATTTGGCCCATTGTAGTTCTGCAAAGGTGCCATTTATATATTTGGAAGAGCATTGACGCTGTCTAGTCTGGCTTATAACTGTTCAATGCTTCTAGTTTGATATGGGTTTAATTGCAATTCAGATTGAGAGTGAAGGCGGCAGACAGAGAGGGAGAGATCTTCTTTCGCCTTTCTAATATGTTGACCAATTTGAAGTGGCATTTGAAGTGGGCGTAGCACTCAACTGGCGCACAAGTTGAGTGTGGCGTACCTCGGCACGCGCTTATTAGTTGCCCAACTGAGCTTTGAGCATTAGTGTCAAATTGAATGCTGTGGCATTTATGGCCAAGCAGCCGGAACCATAAGCATTGGATTTCGCTGTGTCCTTCCGTCAGTTGCAGTTCTTGGCCCCGGACTGCCGTCGTAAATGGTAAATGATGCATATTTCATGAGACTTACATGCCTTAGTGGCAAAAATTACAATGAACAAAATCAGAAAGCATACGCACAATCACATACACACACGCCCCTACACACACATACACACACTCACACCACAAGTCTTGATAAATTGAATTCGATGGACTTTTGGATGTCGTCTGAGTTCATTGAGTTGCCAGGGTTTTAAAGTCAGGCACGTTTTCTCCTGCAGAGAATTATTGCCAGAATACCGAAAACTTTCCCTTCATACTTCAATCCAGCACCCTTCTGCCAGTTTGTGTTTTTATTTTACATGCATAATACTTTCGGGTGTTTATAAATATTGAAATAGACGTCAATAACATTTTCACACGCTGTGCTTGTTGTTTTTTCGTCGCCCTTTTTCTACCAGCCTACTCGGTAAGTAAAATATTGTGAGGTGTTGAGGGTTGTATGCTCAGGATTTGGTTGACTGCCTGCCTTCGCAGTGCGTGCCGCACCCAAAATCTGTTAATAATGATGCTTGACATATGTAGACTGAAGAAGACGCAACACAAACAGAATCCCTAACCAAAAAGCTGACGCATTTGTGCGTGTGAAATATGTTTTGTCAACTTATTAAATATGCTCAATTCTGGATTTTTTTTTGCGTAGGAATACGTGCTGTGGCATTTGAATGTCATGACGAAAAAAAACCTGTGCCTCGGGATGCGGTGACAAAATTGATGGTTAAATTATAAGGTGTGGTTTCCCACTTTTTGGAACTCTTGTTATTGCAATAAGCTGAATACAAAGTGTGAAACTTTAGTGTTAAATATGTCAAATATATTACGAGATAATAATGGGACTTAAAAGCAAATTTACATTTTGTAATTGGACATTTTTTTCATTCAGATATAGCTAACATAGAGTTCGTTTTTAATATTTCAATTAAATAGAAATCACAAGTCAAAAATATTCAAATATTGATTGTAAAGCGCGAATTAAAACATTTTTTAAAGAATTCAATAAAAATGGACTATTTAAGGTATGACGAGCATTCAATATTCTTGAAAAAATTTCAGTCCGGGTTGGGTAATTAAATACGCCACATTTCCTATACTCATTGTTGTTAATTTAATACATTCGAGACGCACTCATCTGTGAATATTTTATTGTATTTTAACACAGGGAGTTAATAATTTAATTGGCATTCATTTGAATGTAATTTATTTAACATTAATGTATTGTTGCCTAATTAACAATGAATGCACTTTGTACGTAAATAAGCTATAGTTCGCAGCTACTCGCTTTGCAAATCATATTATGTAGCGCTGGGCCCCGAAAGTCACTGGGCCGACAACAAAGGGCGGCGCACTCATTGCCATGGCAAATGCGCTTAATATGAACAAATGGATAACGTTTTTGGGGTCAACGTGTGTTTATTATCAATTTCATCAAAAAATGTAGATGATAAATATGCTGGGGTACGATACGCTTCTATGCTCTGCTGTGCTATAAGCACTTATGTGAAAGTGTAGAACAAAACAAAAATATATTTTATCTGTGCGAGGCGACAGCAGCCGTCTGGCTGTCTATTTACTCCCGCTGCTGCGACTTTGTGTATTTACAGGTAACAGGTAAAAACATAGAAATACTCCCGTGTTTTATTTGCGAACAATCTGCTTTTTATTTTGAACGTCTCGTTGGCGCCACAGAGCAGAAAGGCTCCCACTTTTAATGGAGTAGACAACAACATCAACTACAACTTCGTTGGCGACACAAATTGGCGCCAGTTTCAAAGCTTTTCCTCTCTCCAGCAACCTGTCATCCTTGAATCCCACGCGTGTGTCTAGCATTTTCTCTATGTGACTGTTGTATAAGCTTTTCAATGGCTATCAGTTATGTGTTGAATAATACCACGAACCATAACAATTGCACCTATTATTTTTGCTACCTGGAATAGATAACTATCCTTTTAATTATTTTATCATATTAATATGCCGATATCAACTATAGCGGACTTGGACTTGCTTTAGAAAAATACTTACTTTGGCACATTCACCAAAACTTTTGTACACATTTTCAGTACATTCATGATTAGGTATTTTAAAATTGGTGGCACAAGCCAAGTAAGGTAAGCGTTCTCTCTACGAAATTAATTTATTATACTGTTGGTTTTTATTCGAAAAGCATTTTCAGGTACTGTGATGCATCTGTTTCTTCATCACTTACACCTGCTCTCCATATGTCGGTGGGGCTTTATCGGTGAAAGAGTCATTAGCAAGAACTACATCATGCTTACCAACGCTCTCTCATATGTAAGTCGTACTTATAAAGCTATGTCAGTATTCGCATACGTGTCAACATAATTGATGAGTCTTGCTTGAAGCAAATCTTCAATGCAAAGCCGAATGTGTGCTATTTGTGTCCTGCGGTTCAAACACACACACACAGTGGGAATCGGGTTGATGGGTACTGGTATGTCGGTAAATTGGCTTATTTTGTCGACAGTTTAAGTCTTCTGGGTATTTATTGAAATTTACTTGCTATGGCAAAACACTTAAGTTGGCATTAGGCCCTGAGATGTAGTCGAGCATTTGATAAATGATTTCCAGTCATCTCACGGGTCAAAATAAATGTGTAAATAATAAATTTCCTTGCAGAACAAACTGCCAAATAGTTAGTTATAACGTGAAATAGTCCACTGTTGTTAATTTCTAACCAATATTTGGGCATGACAGTAACACTGGTGAGTTTGGCCGGAATATCCGACAAATTCATGCAATATATCTTCCACCAAAAGCTCAGATATACATAAATGTAGTATGATTAAGGTGAAACTGTGAATTAAGATTGCCTCCAGAATAGACAGTGTTTGAACATAGCAGATAGTGATTAATATAGGTACACATATAGTAAATACTTTATTGATAATGATATTCTTTGCAAGGGTATAAAAATATGATAAATGTATGCATATAAATGGATATGGAATTAGAAAGCCAGAAACAAACAAAATGCAAGCAGCCAAATATTAAAATAACACCCAGAACCTACTGAGAAAGATGGCATGGGATCTGTGACGTGTGGCAAACGTTTGTTCACATCGCAGGAAAGGATCATGGCACGTCTCATGCTATCGGCCGCAAAGGATCTAAGTTGCTGGGCAGCCTCCAAGCCGCACAGCAAGGCGCCACGCGTATAATAGCAGTCAAGGATATCGTTGAAGCTCTGACAGACTTTGTTTGCATTGCGCTTCTCGTACCAGTCCGCTGGACCTTCGCACTCGATCATGTCCGTACGCAGGTCCTTGAAGCAGCTGTGCGCCTCGGTGAGGCATGCGCAACGTTTCTTGTTGGCACCACCGTCGCATACCTCTTCCTTGTAGTATTTGAGACCGTCGGCTAGCTTCGCATAGATATTGTCATCGGCAAGCATGCAGTTGCTTGTGGCGCCACGTATGCGATCCAGCACATCGGCAATTTCAGCACAGGATTCCTTGAGCTGAGGCTGCGCCAACAGCAGTACAATACGCTCCGGACTGACCACATAGAGGCGGGCCAGCTGCAGTACCAAGGCATTATCATTACAAGTACGGAGTGCACTGACTACGCCGGTCTTGCCCTTGAGCTGATAGCCAGGCGGACATGTTACTGCGTCCTTTGGCCTTAGCTCATAGCCAGGTGGACAAGTTTTGAAGCAATCTTTGTTCGGCTTGTTTGTTACTGCTGTGCTTTTGTCTGTTGCTCCAGCTGGTGTTGTTTTACCACCATGACGATTACTGTGCGACTCGAAGCCGTAGTGATGATAGTACCAGGGAAACCATATCGCTTGAGTCGCCTGCAGTTCTAAAAGAAACAGTAGCAAGAGAGAAAAGAGTGGCCAGCTAATTGACATGGCCAAGATGTAAATATGTAACTGAGCACACGATTTTTGTTCTAACTCTTGACTCCAAGTGAACTTTGCTTGAAGTTTTCATATATTTTATTTACATGTGGTGAACAATATGTATGAGGCATAATTGAGGCTTTAATAAATAAACTCAACAGAAATTGTTGTATCACAAAATCGTTCCAAATGTCGAAATAATCAATCGTACCATACAAACTTCTTCGCTATTCAAACTTTCCTAGAAAATAGAAGTCGATGACTTGTTTCTCACTTGTAGGAAATTATCTAAGCCAAAGAATTCATCGACTGACATTGCCAAGACTTCATAAACTGTTGCTTTTGTGGGGGCGAATGGACATATTCTTTGCGAAATTATCACAGAAAGTGCACAAAGGTGATGCAAGAAACTGTTTCACTTTGTGCTCTTCTCGCCAGAAATCTGAAATGAAATCACTTTTTATGCTGTCCATTATGCAATGGACCCACAACTGCTGCTGCTGCTGCTGGTGCTGGTGCTGGTGCCTTTATCCTGGCTCACACCTTCACGCACTTTTTTTGAATTGTCAAGGGTATGGCGAGTGAATTTTATTAGCACTCATAAGTTGTAAAGTGTATGATGCCAAGGACGAGGCGACTGACTGACTGTGGCTGTAGATTTTGTCGCATACTTTTCCTTCCCCCACCCTCCTCACTTCTTGTTAAACAGATTTTTATTGCAGTTTTTTATTTGCATTTCTTATTCTCGGATCCCGATATATATATATTTTTTTTGTTTTCGTTTATTCATTTTTTTTTTTACTTTGTCGCACTTGACGTAAAGTCTCCACTTTTTTTTATTATTTAACATTTCGTTTCATTTTGTCGCTGTAGGAAATGAAATATTTTTGCATATAAAAAACATTTGACTTCATACTGTGACAATGTTTTCCCGCTGTTTATGTGGCAGCTTCCACTTGTCTGTCTCTTCTGCTCTGTTTTTATTTTTTTTTATATATTCTATTTTATTTTGCGCTGCTCATATCCGGCACGTAATAAAATGACAAGGTAAATATGCAAAAAATTTAAAGAGCTCATGAATAAGAAAGTATGCAGATCAACAGAGAGAGAGAGAGAGAGAGAGAAATTCTTACTTGTGTTAAACACATCATGCAGCTGAATATATATGAAGCTTCATTCCTTCATTAATGATTTTCTTATCATTAATCTTTCACTGCAGACAGTTGCCAGTAACTTCCATTCTCATGCCGGAGCCTATAAAAATTATTTGAATTGACCTCACAGCACTAGATGCGAAGGCAGATACAGCTAGAACGCTGGGTGGATGTAGCGAGAGAAATGCAGGCGAAAGACAGAGAAAGCACTTAGAATATTGTCCAATTCAGTTCAGTGGCAAATTATGTCATTACGTTGTCATGTTGAAATTTGCTCAATGAACTGTGTTCAATTTGTTGACTAATTGCGTGTGTCCTTTGTGCGGCGCTCTCGACTGGGCTGAACGCCAGGAAACTGCTGCGGCTGTCATTGCTAATGTTGCTATATTATTGCAAAAACTGACACGAGCCTGATATGAAAATTAATTGGATTTTTATGTGTTGCACGCTTAAGGCCAAGTGCTGTTGATTGACATGAATTAAAGTGTCAAGTAGAGGGAGGGAAAGCTCGAAGCCAGATTTAAAAATTTCCTGAAAATACCATCAATATTATGTGCTTTAAACTCTTGACTGAGTTTTAATAAGATGTTTTTAGAACATTAAACAAATTAATCTCAGAATTTACATTTGATACATATGTGTATAAAAAAAGATATGTGCACATCAAAGTGATTACTTAAGTCTCAGTATGTTACGAAGTTATATTAAAAAATTAACATATTATAAAATATATGTAAAAAAGGCAGCATCATGCTTTGATTGACAATCAGTCAATTATGATAAACAATGCTATATATGGAGTATTGATCTCTGCACCTTTTGCCTGCTATATAAAGAGCTCTTTTAGTTGATGGAATATATATTTTACACATCAATTAATACAATTAATTTGACATATAAAATTTAACGGCAAAATGCACAGTACAAGAATGAATACAAGTATCCCCATAATGAAAAAAAAAACTATTGAAATTGTATTAACAATAATGAAATTTATATTTATACTTTGTTATAAGGGCGAGGAGCAGAGAGCATAATTAAAATGTCAAACATGGCATTAATCATGTTGGTTAATGCACTGTGCGAGCGACGCTGCGTATGCTAAATTTATAATTGCATTTTCATTGTAATCAATAAAGTGCGGAATTCTCCTTTGGCTCCTTTCGCTCGTACGATGCTTGGGAAAGTGCACTTTATAATACAACTGGCGCCCAAAAAATGTCACTTTATTGCGCAAAGAACTTTTACAGACAGCCAGGTGTGGGTGCTTCATGATAATGAAAAACTAATGAAAATGCAAGCAGCAAGGAATAAGGACCAAAGAGGTTTGTTACCTGGTAAGTAGGTGTAGTGCCCGGTGCAAATGGAAATTAAATTGCTCCGGCGCCAGTTGGCCAGATAAAACTTGATACAAGTTTATCGTTTCTTTTCTTGTATCTACCCTGTACCACTAAAAACTATCTAAATGAGGGATTACTCTATGTGACTATAAATCTTTTATGTTCCTTTACAAACACAGATAAACTACATTTTTCGTTTTCGCTCGCAAATAATGAGCAGATATTTACAGTTTATAAGTAAGATAGATGTACCAAAATGAGTAGTGAATAGTTTGAGTTTATTTCATATTTCTCATAAATGTCTTGATGAGCACCTTTCAAATCTCAAAGCGTGGTAACTTTTTGTCGAATACTAAAAAACTTTACTTTTCTGCCCGTTGGGTAAAAGGGGAGAAACTTCAATTGCCACCGTAACTAGTTCAAGTTGCTTACAGTAATTATAAATTTACCTAAGGAATTACGCAAGCTCGTTGAGTGCAGCTGAAGGAGTTTACAGGTGGCGGCACGAAACTTTCGGCAGCGGCACGGGGAGGGCAGAGTGCAGGGTGCAACTAGCCAGTCAAGTTATTGGACAAGTACTTTGGTTGGAGGAACTAGGAATAATATTATTGATAGATTAGAGTGGGTCGATGAGCAGATGGAAAGGGCACTCATCAGACAAAGTTAACGAACATACTGAAGTGTAGTTATGGCTTTTATGTATACTGTTGCTTCTAAGATGATTAAAGACTTATCAAACTTTTAACTGCATTACCTTAGCTGAGCACTCTGTTCCTCATCTCTTGCATATGAACTGTTAATGGAAAAATGACAAATATTAAAAAAAAACCGAGTGCTTTTTAAGAACTAGATTCAAAAAAAACTTGCTACAGTTTATTCCTCAAACTTGATTTGGCAATTTGGTAACCAATTCCATAGGTACTGGAAAAAAAAGCCAGTACTTTTTCTCACTTCTTTCATATTGCTTTTTCTGTCGCTTTTTGTCCATTTTGTCATCCCTTTCACAGATCACACTCTCAGGCCGTCTGGTATAAAAGCTTCTTGCGGCAATCCCAAAAACAGAGCCCCAAATTGCGAATAGGCAACCCAAGCATTACCTTAACTAAGACTCGACTCAAAGTCTGTGGCTATGGATGCTGCTCAGCGGATTTGTAACGGTATTAGCACCTTCCACTTCCGTTTGCCTTTTTTTTTTGCTCTTTTTTCCATGCTCAAGGACAATCCTAACGAATGGATGTATTTTCCGCCTTCAACTTTCGATTTGAGGTAACGTTTCATTCTGTGCTTTAAATTGCAATTACGCTTCCTTTGCAGATTGGTGAGCCAGTTTTAGATAGCACAAGCACATGTTATAGCCACAAATAAGGTTTAATTTTATGCAAGTTAAGTCCAAGATCTGTTCAACATTTTATTTGCTAATTTTTTTCTACTTCAATATTTTTGTTGCATTGCAATTATCAATTTTTGAAAACATATCTAAAAAGTTTCAATATCAATCTACATATTATGTGGGCATTACTTACATTGCGTTAGTTAGGAAGAAAGCTAATGGAATAATTCATTTGTCTTTAATCATTTGACGTACTGTTAATCTGCCCATTCTCTTGTATTTTTACCCACAAAGTGCTGCTCATTTGGCTGCTTAATCTTGGCAATAATTTCCCTGTCTGCACTTAGCTTGGCGCTGAAATTTCACTTCAGTTTGCGTCCGAAGTTGGGATGAAAATTACGCCAGAGTTTGGCGAAAGCGGCGTCGAGTTACGCGCAACTTATCCTAAATTACAATCACTTAGAACAGTTTAAGCAGACATTCTGCACTCATTTTAGACTTCCGTCTAATTTACATGCTATTTAAATTATGTTGCCAGCCCAGAACCTGTCTGCTGCTGTTACAACCCAACCAATATGGAGCAGCTTCATCAAAATGCCTCGACCTCGCCGCTTGTCTGCCAGCGTGCCTGGGCCTGGCTTTGTGCTGAATAGCTGCCACTATTCGGATAGTCGTCTTCTGTTGAAAACTTGCAGCAGCTGCTGCCGCAGCTACTTTGTAAAAACTTTTGTATGGAGAAAATGAGTTTGGGGGATTGGCAGGTGGGGTAACGTCAGATGGTTGCTCCTTCATGGCTTAACAGTGGCTGCAACTGCATAAAATTTCGCCAATATAATTTTAAAGAGCAGGCCACGGCGGCAAGTGGCTTCCTGTCCTTGTCCCGTCCTGTCCTGTCCTGTCCTGTCCTGTAGCTCTATCGGTTAGCTCTATCTGTATGTAAGCTTTTGCAATAAAAATGAATTAAATGCAATGAAGCAGCAACGCAGCCCGCTCGACTTGCCTCTCCAGTTGCTCACATCCATGGAACGAACGCCTCGGGGGCGCTCGCATTGAAATTGTTACAACAAAGTGGAACGTTGAATGTGGCAAAGTGGGCGCCAACCAGCAAGCCAGAACGCCAAACAGCCAGATAGCAACTGGTGTCAGTTATTGTTGGGATAGCTCAGGTAGCCAGCTAAGTATAAAGTACAGACAGTAC